TTTGTTGATACAAAACAAATTGATCTTGTTATATCATTAAATAAAACATATTATTTTGAAGAATTAGAAGCACGTTTATGTGAACATGGTTTACATTATTTAGGTTGTTCAGTTGATACATTATCATTAACGGATAATCAATTAAATGCGAAACAATTTATGAGTAAACATAAAATTCCAACATTAGATTGGACACATTGTTTAAATCAAGAAGATGCACAAATATTTATAAATAAGTAAATAAAAAAAATTTTATTTTTAGAAAAAAATCATAATGTTTTTAATATTTAGATATCCGAATCAACAAGAATGGATTGTTCGTTCAACGAATGGTAATGGTTTGATCAATTGTAAAACTCAAGAAGAAACAATACAAACAGTTAAAGCTGTTTTTGATGTAAATATTTTGAAAACTATGAATATGCCTTGAGATCCGGAAAATTTCTGATATCGTTCTAACAGAAGAGAATGATAATATTCTTTCGTAAATGTCTATGGTTGTCTACCGAGTGCCATTCTACTTTACTGTGCTCTGCACTTCTTGAGGGTGTGGGTGTTGTGTCCATGCTTTATCCACACCCATACCTTCTAGCTAAAATCAATACTCTTGCCAATGAGAATGTGACAGTTCTAGTTCGAAAGAACTTAACCTGAGCTTTTACAGTCCTACTTGCCAAACATTTCGAGGGCGATGAACATTTCGTAGCGACTTTCTTTATCAGTAGCTAGTAAAAAGTGAACTACATCACCTCTCTTCTTTCTTGTACATGATTCTTTGTTAAATAAACTGTTGAATCTTTTTTTCCGAATTTTGGGGCAATATCGAAATTATCATCTAAATTCAATATATTTCTATTCTATTTTAGGATCATATATTTGGTAAATTAAATCAATCTATAATTATCGAACATGGTTATTCTCTTGATGATAATCAAATTTGTCTTTTATATATTGTAAGTGATGGTGATGGAGATTATACACAATTACCAATTATACAATCAGATCCATTACGTATGGGTGCATATGGTCCATGTCCATATTTAACACCAAAACAATTATCTTATATACGTCGTCGTATTATTGAACGAACATTACGTTGTTCACCAACAATTCGTCATTTATTCGGTTTTCGTTTACTTATACAAGGAACAAATTATAATCAAGTTTGTTTACTTGATTATATTTCAACACTTGAAGAACCTGAAGCTGAAATTCTTTTATCATTATGTGAACCAGATGTATTTCTTCAATATGCATTGGATTTACCATCAGTACCAATAATTCCATTAACAAGTAAAAAACGTCGTGTTCATTGTGTTAATACAACAGTAACATCAACAAAAACATCGTTAACAATTTCAAATAAAATTCTATTAACAGCAACAAAAAATAATAAAGTGAAAATATTTCATAATCAAACCGATGTTAATGTTAATAATAATGGAACAGGTGATACAAATTTTATAACAACAAATGGTGAACGAATATTTAATGTACTTGGTTATGGTTCAACATTACAAGAAGCACAAATACAATCTGTTCTTGCATGTGAATATATTAAACAACAAGCGAATATTGATGATCTTTTATTTAAATCAGATATTGGTGCTCAAGCTATTGAATGGTAAAGAATATATATATTCTCTTTCTCGTAAAGAAGAGTCTGTCCGCAGGGTCAAAAAAACATCGAAAACTGATTTTTCGAAAAAGATACTTCTAGAGGTTTTTAGATACGAGGAGTTCGAATCTGAGGACTGTTGAGTGACCGTGTGAAGGAAGGGGGTTAAGTGGGGTCAAAAAAACATCGGAAACTGATTTTTCACGGTTTTCATTTGTTTTTCCGGTAAATGTGAAGAAAATGCATTTCTACGAGAAAGAGCTAAGCGAATCCGCGGAGGAGCGTTACTTGTATATATATATGAAAGTTTTCCTCATTGAGAAATAATTTTTTTTGTTTTAGGTATAAAACACATGCTGATCGTCATCATTCGTTAACTGGTGGTTTAACAAATGGTAAAAAGAAGAAAGTTAAAAAGAAGAAGTCAATTTTTTCACCATCAAATAAACGTAATCGTGGTATGACAACTCGTCGTCGAAATACGAAAAATTCTGAACAAGAAAAAGGTGATGATGAGAATGAAGAGAATGAAACTACAGATGATGATGAGGATGATGATGATGAAGATGATAATGAACCAATGGATTTTGAACGAGCATTTGGTACAGTATCAGATACACCAAAATTAGAACATATGGATATTTATCAAAATAATGGTAATTTTGATGATCTTAATATTCATGAAGGTGAATCCTATTTTGATTTAACTAATAAAATTGATTTAAAAACTTATACACAACCTGTTCTTATATCGTCAACAATAAATTTAAATCCATTAGCTGCTGTAAGCAAAAATTTGACTTCGTTTCTTTATCTTTTCTAAAAATATATTTTTAGTTATTTAATTTAAATGATGGAGATATGAGTGATAGTCAAACTGTATTTGAATATCTTGGTCATGAATTAACTGTTCGTTGTGCTAATGATCTTATTTGTGCTCGTACACTTTATATACAATGTTATTCATCACCCATATCATCTCGACGTTCAATTCAACGTTTTTATCAAGGAATTGAACAAGCATGTCAACAACTTGATTGTACACTTCTTAAAACAACGACAACAACAACATTATCGTCATCATTATTTACATCATTATGTACAGGTTTATCTGATAGAGAATTAATTGTAATTAATAATACAAATCATCCAGTAATTAATGAAGGTGATTTATTAATTGCACTTCGATGTAGTTCGGGTACAGTTAATACACAAGGTTATGTACAATTAAAAGATTTATTTCAAAAGAAAAATATTCATTTAAATGATACGGTACCATTTCGAACTGTTGATGGTGAAGAAGAATCATTTTTTTCGTTATTATTACAAAAATCATCAATATTAGCTTCATCATTAGCTAAAATTATTGCTGAACTTATTAAAAATCGTACAATTAAAGCAGTTCGATATCTTAAAGGTCTGTTATTAATTTAAATATATATATTGAATCAGTTTATAATATAAGAATTTTTATTCTAGATATTGGTCTTGCTCGTATGATTGAATCATTACTTGGTTCATCATCATCAACATTAAGTGCGGAATTAAATGGTCAACAATGGCCTGTAATGCCACCTCTTTTTACCTGGATTTATCAACATGTAAAGAAATCGAAATTTTTATTTCTTAAAAAAATTAAATCTTTTATTTTTTTTCAGAGTGGTTTTAGTCAAGATGAAATGTTTGAATATTTTAACTGTGGTGTCGATTATTTACTTATTATTGACCATACAAAAATATCAACTGATGATATACTTCGTCAATTAACTGAAACACATACATCAAGTTTTTTTCTTGGAACATTTGTATCAATTAGTAAGTAGAATAACAAACTTTGAATGCATAATGTCTTATCTATAATTTTTAGATACAAGTCCAGCACGTAAACCAATTCGTTTACCACAACAACAACAACCTACTGTAGCTCCACCACAACCACGAACTGTTCAATTAAAAAATATATCATTTAAATATCCTAAACCATATCAAACAGCTGCTAATCTTGCAAATAATAGTTTACCTATTGTTATCAAAGATCGTATGAAACAACCAATAGCGAATGATAAAACACGTAGTGCTGTACTTATTTCAAATAATGGTAAAATATGAAATTTATAAAAACATTTTATTTTTTTACATTGTTTCTTTTAGATACATCATTACTTTCACTTCTTGCATATAGTACTACAACACTTGAATGTGCATTTGAAATTGTTCTTGTTCTATCAACAGTAGCTGGTTTATCAGATATAGCTCGTGTTAATGAATTATATCCAGCAGTGGTTACGAAAGTAATTCAACCAAAGAAATATGCTGCTCGACATTATGATCTAGTAAATAATTATTTCTATAAAATCAACTATATTTTCTTGATTTTTTTGTTAAGGATCAAAAAGTTGATGATGAATTACAATTACATGGCTGTGAATTAGTTATACTTGATCGGTATACATGTCGTTTATCACATTCATTTATTATGGCATGGCGTGGTCGATTATTAAATATATATCCATCATTATTACCATCATTTCGTCATAGTACTTCACCAATTCGTGATGCATTACAAACAGGTGTTCGTATAACAGGTGTGACAGTTCATTTTATTGGTGAATCTGATACAGATAATGATGGACCAATAATTGCACAAGAAAGTTTATCTGTATCACCAATTGAAACAGAAATTCAATTAGAAAATCGTTTACGTATACTTGAACAACAATTATATCCCAAAGCAATAGATATGGTTGCATCAGGAAAAATTGTTTATCAAGGAAAACGACGAATGGGTAAAACAAATTCAACTGCAACAATCACACCTTCATCTTATTAAATAAAACATTCATTTTTGTCTGTACATTGGATTATATATCATTATATGTATCTGTGCTATTTGTTTCCTGAAATAGCCAGATTTTGTTTTTTTTTCTCTTCTTTTTGTTTTTGTAGTTCTGTCGTCTTGTTTAAGGAAAAAAAACTAAACGAAAAATATATATGTACATGTATACAGTCATGAACAAAGAAGTTTTTTTTTCAAAAAAATGATTAGATCAATCGATAGAAACCCTTCAGTTTCAATTCGAAATGATAATTCAAGTGAATTTCTAATAATAGAAATAATGTATTTAATGATATGAGTTTACCTGTACGATAATATTAATCGATTGACGTCATTAGTGATTCTATTACGTTTTATGCAAATATGAATGCATGATATATATTCATATTTACGAGTTATATTTGCATCGAAAACCTGATACTTAGAAATTGGTTTCTATTTTGGTTTTTATTTGCGCAATTATGATCAATTGTTTAAATAAGTATAAATACAGAAAATATTCTCATATGTTTTTATTTATTTGATCATTTAACTAAATATAAAATTATGTTTACTACTTCAAACATTTGTATTTTACTTTGCTTGTTTATTGGAATTGGCTATATTCATGGAAGTAATATTCTTCAAATTAAATTCTTTTTCATCAATGATTTCTAATTAATTTCTTTTTTTGTTATTTCCAGGCCCATTCGCTTCTAGAATAAAAAGAAGCCATGGTGACTCAGGTGAAAAAGGCGATAGTTCTGAGCAGAAAGATGGGGTTTATCAATGTGGTCCATATGAAGAATATAGATGCAATTACACAATTTGTACACCAATTTGTTCAGGTGGTGTCTATACAGAACAAAGCCCTATATGCAAAAAAGAACTTGCAACTGGCTGCTTCTGTAAAGAAGGTTATTATCGTGGAGCAAATGGTAAGTGTATTTCAGCAAAAGCTTGCTGTTCAGGTGAAAATCAAGTTTATACAACTTGTGGTACTGCTTGTCCTGCATATTGTGGTTATATACCAGGAATATGTACAATGCAATGTGTTCAAGGCTGTTTCTGTGATAATGGCTATGTTCGTCAAAACAACAGTGCTGGTAGTCGTTGTATAAAAGAAACTGATTGTAAATAAATATTATATTAACGAACAATTTTCTATTTTCTGTGCTTTTGTTTTCTGCTTAAAATAAAACTTCATTTACTCCTGCAAATTTTTACATTAAAAAAATGAAATATATTCTTCAATACTTTTCTTTTAATTGTTAATTGATATAGACACATGACGATAAAATATATGTAACTCTATCTTAAATGATGAATATCACAATTTTATATGTTTATTGTTTTCAAATAATATTAATCATTATCTTCTAGACGCTTCTCAAATTTCAAGAGTACTTATACTGTCTGTTGAATAGTTGAAAGAAGAACATAACGAACGTATTGTATATTACATCACGTTTCTTATCAGTTTATTGCGTATGTATACTCATACATTTTTCATTTTCAATCGAAAAGTCATTTAAAACAAATAACACGTACTATTAACATACTACCTATGAATCAGTCATCTCGCATTAAATTTCTATTGATTTTATTTCTAACTATTTTTATTCTTCGAACAAATGGTATGATTATTTTTCTTATGAAAATTTATATATATATATATTTTGTTTTTAGGATTTCTATTCGGACGTTGGTGTTTAGGTGCTCATCAAGAATATACAACATGTGGTTCAGCTTGTCCTCTTTCATGTACTGATGTAAGACATGCCAGATATTTTAAACCATGTACATATCAATGTATACAAGGATGTTTTTGTAAACGTGGTTATGCTCGAAGAACTCATTCGAAAAGTCAATGTATTCCTGATTGGCGATGTTAATTAATTCAATACAAAAAAAAAGACTTTTTTCACATTGAAAGATCTCTTTGTTAATATTAGGATAATTAATGACATACTTCATTTTTTTTTGTGAATGTTTTAAATAATTTCTATATATATAAACAAATTTGACTCTCTAATGAAAAGTAATCGAAGTACTTTTCTATCTTAAAAGACATTAACTTGCATTCATATATGATATATGCGCTTCAATGAATAATAATTTAATTCTTGTATCAATCGAAAATAATATAAATGGTTATTATCTGATATAATAATCGATATGAAAAGTAATGGATATACAACATCACTTTGCAAATTTATTTTGTGTCAATGTATTGATACGATTATCGATACATTATAGGATCATTTGTATGATAATGATCATTATTTAGCTTGAGGGATGATATCTTTTTTCTCTTTTCAAAATAAAATCGTATGTCACACTTATTATCGGCCATTAAGTACATTCTTTACCGTTGTTCTCACCGTTACGCTTCATTTTCAAGGATATATAAATTTAGTTTACCTATTATCTATTTATCGGATGACAATAAACCGTACCTTATTCAATAGTATTATCACATACAATTTCCTTTTCATTTAAATATAGCTTTCATAAACGTAAATTATTTATTCTACGTATAATATTATGGCTGAAGGGTAAGAAAAATATCTATTAGAATTGTATAAAAATAATATTATTTAGTTCTACTATGCCACATACTACTCTTGCGATGGATCAATCCTCGCAACCAGCTGTACTTTTTACAACAGAAATATCTCAACAACAACAATCACGACCTTTACGACATAAAATAAGTCATCATTCAACACCAGCTTTTTCATCTTTCTTACGAACAACATCAGGAAGTGGTGGTCATTTTCTTAATAAGTTTGTTTAAACTCATAGAATTTATTTCACTTAAAAAAAACGTATATTTTTTGCTAAATTAAAGTTTATTACAACGAACAATAACAAATCGTCAACGAGCTGAAATACAATTACAAGGTTTGCTTGATGAATCTGAAGAATCACTACCCACATTTATACGTCGTGCTAGTGATCAATTAACTCATAATAATTTATCATTAGAAGAAGTATCAAAATTACTTAATACTCAACCATTTATTATCGAACGTCTTGTAAATGTACTTTATTCATCAACAGATGATGATGAAGTTATAAAAACATTAAATAAAATTGAAGTACAAAAATTAACACGTATTCTAAATAGTACAATGGATGTACGTGCACTTGTATTCTTTATGATGTTAGATGAAAATAGTGATTATTATATAACAAATAATGAATTAGCATCGTTTTATGAAAAATATCTACAACATTTAAAAACATTTGATGAAAATCGATTACAAGAAGTCATTCAAGTACTTCTTCAAAAATTTCATCTTGATCAAGTAAGTATATTGAGAATGATAATCCTTGACTAACTTTATTCTGGTTACGTCCGTAATATAAAAGTAGAAATTTGCAGCATATAGATAATCATTATGTTTTTAATTTAGAAATCGCGTATTGATTTTGAAGAATTTTATTCAATTGTATCAAAAGATTCAACTTTACTTCAATCTTTATCACAATTTACAGTTCATCCAACATGGTTTATTAAAACTTCGGCGAATTCTCGTGAACAAGAAAATAAATTTCAACGTTTTCTTTCTCATTGTTGCCAACAACAAAGAATTTATGAAATACAAAAAAATAAATTAACAATTGATTATATGAAAGATAATCTTTCACGTATAATTGTTTTATTTATTTATATATTAATTAATCTGGCGTTACTTCTTTATGTTGTTATTTATCGTGCAACTGTAACAAAATCTAATATTTTTGTTATTTTTGCACGTATTGGTGGATTATTATTAAATTTTAACTGTGCACTTGTAATTGTACTTATGTTAAAACATACAATATTAATTATTCGAACAAATACATTCTTACGAAAAATAATACCTGTTGATGATCATATTGATTTTCATAAAGTTGTTGGGCGTGTTATTGCTGCTTTGGCAATTTTGCATACAGTTGCACATATGATAAATTTTGGAAAACTTGAAGGTAAATATAGAGATTTTGAATTTTGAAAAATATATATAAATTTCTTTGACTATTTAGATCACTCATGGGGAACTTTTATGGTATATTTATTTAAATATATATATATTCAATATTATAACTTTATTTTGTTTTTAGTTTACTACAAAACCTGATGTTGGATGGGTTGGTGGTTTTGCACCAATAAGTGGTATTATTTTATTTATTATGCTTGCTACAATAGTTATTTGTTCAATGCAATGGATTCGACGTGGTGGACATTTTCAAGTAATAATATAGCATATTTCTCTAGAATGAATTCTTTTAAAAATCTACAATTTTGAGAGTAGAATCTCGGGTTCATACCCCTCATTCAATCATGAGAGCAATAATTTAAGGCTCTTTGAATTGTCTACATACTGTGCTATTTGGTTTTCCAAAATGTTACTCTTGATTATGAGCTTTTTTATATTAAACTGCAAAAAGTGAAAAGCGATGTCTTTCTTTAATTAATATCGTTAACGTTAATTTTTGTAGTGGTAATTTTTCTCAGTAAAAGTCTCTAAAGTTGATTCTTTTACAATATCTACAGTAATTTGATATATGTGTAACATTATATTTAGGTGTTTTATTGGACACATTTACTTTATTTACCTTTTTTTGTGCTTCTTATTGTTCATGCAGAAAATTTTTGGGTAAATTTTTTTGTTAATATATATATATATATGCATATCTTGAATGCTAATTTTAGAAATGGATTATTGGTCCATTATCATTATTTTTACTTGAAAAGCTTTATTCAATTTTAACACGATATTCTGTTAAAAGTGGACGAACTTATCTTCATTCAGCGACTATTGAACAATCAAATGTGGTTAGTTTGAATATTCATCGACCAAAAAATTTCATGTAAGATTATTTCTATAATATAGATTCGTCACAAGGACTATTAGTTTAATCACATTAACTCTAAATCATATACTAGCATATTTAATAATTACTGACAAAAATCTCTGAATTTGGATATTCTAAACAATTATTGTTCATTTGATTTTAGGTTTAAACCTGGTGATTATATAAGTATTAATTTACCACGTGTGGCACTTTATGAATTTCATCCATTTACAATAAGTAGTGCACCAGAAGATACAACTTTTCTTCGTATACATATTCAAGCAGTTGGTAATTGGACTAAACAAGTTTATCAACGTTTTAAAGAAATATCTGAGGATGATAGTCGAGAAAATCATGTTAAAGTTTATCGTGCTGATATTCGTCCTGAAGAATCAGTAGCTGATCTTCAAGCAATGCAAGCAGATCATTGTCAAGATGCTGATGATGATAATGAAGGAAATGAAGATAATATATTAGAAACACGTATAAAATCAAAGAAACGAGAACCCATTGTTATCAATGGACCTTATTCATCTTGTGCACGTTATATATTTGATTGTAAACATGTTGTTTTAATTGGTGGTGGAATAGGAATCACTCCGTATTCATCAATATTATCAAGTCTTATGGCACAATTTCGTGCATCACGTGTTATTTGTAAACATTGTAATAGTATTAATTATAATACTAAAGGTCTTATAGAAAATCGTCGTTTAAAAAAAGTTGATTTTATTTGGGTAAATCGTGATCAAAAAAATTTTGAATGGTTTCTTAATCTTCTACGTCAATTTGAACAAGCACAAGACTATTATTTAGCATCAAATCCAAATGATAATCGTTTTCTTGATATACATTTATATTTCACAGAAATAAAACATGATGAAAATATTGGTAATGTACCATTAGATCTTGCTACACAAATTTGGAAACAAGTTTCTGGACAAGATATATTTACAAGTTTAAAATCTAAAACACATATTGGACGACCAAAATGGGAAGAAATATTCAATCAACTTATTTCAGGTGAAAATGCTTCAACAGCTGATGATGTTAATGTATTCTTTTGTGGTCCCAATACAATGGCCCAAGCCATTCGAAATCATTGTGCTACATTTCGATTTCGATTTTATGAAGAAAAATTTTGAATTGTCTTTTTGATATTAATATGTATATAGTAATAATTTGTTAAATAAAACAATTGATAATTAATAATTAATAATTATTAATTCCTTTTCTCAAAATGTCAAATATAAATTTGAGAAATAGTTCCATGTTTACGAAGGATATTCGTTGAAGTAGCTGAATAGATTAGAATGTCTCTCAACAAATTCGATCAACAAATAGGATGTGAGTGTGTAATGATATAACTATTCACACACTCTCACGATCATGTTAGACTTGTTTTTATATATAAATTGTACATTTAGTTGAAATTTGTTACCTCAATACTTTTTTCAATCATACCTATGAAAGTTTACTTAGAAATATGAGATTCGTTTCCTTTTCTGAAAAAAAGGGTTTTACTTCATCTCATCTCATTGTTTAACTGATAGTAGAAGTCATCAAAGCAGCACATATACACTGTGTACATATTATCTTAGAAAATGTTTGCTCAAAACTTCAATCAATAGAAATCGAAAAATCGATTTTAATAACAGTTATCATGAAAATAAATACAAAATAAGTTTTTAGAATTGTTCTTTCATGTTATTTTATTTACAAAAAGAATATTATGTTTAATAGAGTTCAAAACAGAGAAATAATGTAGATGTTTATTATTTTCTCAAGTCTTTCTATTTCTATTTTGAAGATACAAGAAATACATCGATTTAGATGAGAAAACACATTAAATTTCATCGTCCACTTACTCAATATTGTTAATGAATTCTTCGAAGAAAAACAAACACGCTTTCTGTTAATTTATTTATTTCAACTTTACTTTTATTCAAAAAAAACTTAATTCTTTTTCTCTGTAGCGAAACAGTGATGATCAACTCAAGAGAAAAGTAAAATTAACCTTCAAATCAAATCATCTTGTATATTTTTTACATTTTATTCTGTTATCTTAAAAGATTTCGAAACACAAACAAAAATAAAGATATATAGATAAGAATAGAACTACAAAAATATTTAATCAATAATAAATAAAATACAAGATTAAAATAAAACGGAAACGTGTTTCTTCTTCTTCTAAAACGTCATATAAAGTGATGTTGTGTATTATTTATTAATTTTAGAGTTTGACAAATTTCTGAATACGACGATTTGTTGAATCACTAATGTACAAGTTCATCGATGAATCGAATGCAATACCTCTTGGATAATTTAATTGTGTTGCGCTATTACCGGCTGTGCCAGTACCGGCTATTGTTGTGGCAATTGTACTATTATAACAAAACATTTGTACTCGATGATTTCCATAGTCAACAATGAACATATTTAGAAAACTATCAACTCTAATACCCATGGGAGTATTCAAACTTGTAGCATTTGATCCTGATGTACCTGGTGTACCGGCAATAAATTGACCTGACGATGCACCTGGTATCCATCGCATCACTGAATGACCATTATTGTTGGTTATATATAAATAATTACTTATTGTTGGTAGATATTGAATTCCCCAAGGCAGATTCAATTGTGTATTCGTATTTCCAGCTCCGGCACCTCCAGCAACAAGTTGTCCGTTAGTACCTGTTGTTGAATTCATTTGATATGACATAATGCGATGGTTATTATAATCTGTAAAATACATATATGTTTCTGTTGCATCCGCTGCAAAATATCGAAGACCATTAAATTGATTTAGTGCCGCGCCAGCTGAGCTATTTATTCCTGCCATAGTTATTCCAAGTGTTGACCCATTCACAAATTTTTGTACTCTATTATTATAATAATCGCTTACGTACAAACTTCCTTTCGAATCAACATAAACACCTTGAGGAGTTGAAAATTGACTAGCATTTGAACCACCTGACAACAGAAGTCCAGCTATACGGGTTGGAGTTGAAGCGTTTTTCAATAATTTGACTATAACTTGATTTGATTCATCGACTATATACAATGTGTCATTCGAATCAAAATATATATCACTAGGAATGTATAAAGAGGATATATCCAGTACAGTAATACCAGTTGTATTCCATCGATAGCTATTTATTGTACCTGAAAAAAGGACACAAATATATATCAAGTTATTTTATATCAGTTGGAGAACTGTATAAGTTTGTTTGATTTGATGAAGCCTGACACTTTTCGAAATAATTCCTAATAAACACATTCTTCTTTCATTTCATTCTTTATTTTTGTACATGACGACTCACAAGAAAACTGTTCAAGGCAACTATGTCGATTAATATTCGTTGTTTTCATCAATAGAAAGTCTATAGATTCATAGTATCACTAATCTATAAGATATAATTTAAGAATAAGATCGTTCCGTGGAATATCGACCACATGTCCGATGTTGATTGCAGTAGAAAAACGGCTAATGTGCGTTAGACGTCGAACTAAGTTATGAATAATACACTGACGTTTTCATTATTAGTATGATATTTATAGGAAAACTGAGCACACTAGTTTCTATCCGAAACTTTTCCCATGAATACCTTTTACCGACATAATGATGTCTTGGAAACTTCCACCAAAATTCATGATTCACTTATTTAATTCACACAAAAACTAGATTGTCTAGGTATTCTTGCAGATATCATCATATTTTGATTAAACTTTCTAACATATTCTCTCAGCATTACAAATGACATTTATTATAAAAATTTCTGGCCGCAACTCGCTTGTTTGATTTTTCTACGATATTCTATGACGACGACAAGGCATTCTATAGTACCGCTACGACTGTACAGCATCAATGAATTGAGTCACATAATTTGATGCTTCTTATAGTCACTTAATGGTCTATCTGATGAGATGGATCTTATCTAAAGCGCAACATCTTTCGAGTAATTCTGTCGATAGGAAAAAAAACTAACTTGAACAACCTCAATAGACGTTATTCTCGTAGTTTATTCTTATACGAAACTCAATCCGATTGATATCAGGAATTTAAACTGATTCTGCTTCATCTATCATTATATCACAGCAACATAATCAACCGCCTTACTGTATAGTTCACCGACTCTGAGCAATAAACTTTCTTACTAACATGGGTTTATTGTTGTTGTCGTCGTTGATGTTGATGAAGTTGTTGTTGATGATGTTGTTGTTGATGATGTTGTTGTTGTTGATGACGATGATGATGATGAAGATGATGATGAAGATGTTGTTGTTGTTGTTGTTGACGGTGTTGTTGTGGTTGTTGATGATGAGGCTGTTTCTGTTGTTGTTGTGGTTGACGATGTTGTTGATGAGGAGGTTGTTTCCGTTGTTGTTGTTGGTGATGATAATGAGGTTGTTGTTGACGATGTTGTTATTTCTGTTGTAGTGGTTGACGATGTTGTTGATGATGATGACGTTGTTGTAGTAGTATCAGTACTTGTAGTAGTTGTTGTAGTACTGTCAGTGCTTGAAGTAGTTGTTGTAGTAGTATCA